GTACACGATGCGAACGCGCGAATTTTCTCACAAATTCTCTTTTTTCTTCGCGAAAATTTCACGCCGTCGAAATTTCTTTCGTGATTATTTCCTGGGAATTTTAGCAGAGCTCCAAACCGTTCGTGTACACGATGTGCGCACGCGAGAGGGCACTCATCGGGGAGAGAACACGCGAACGGGGCGAAAGGAGGATGAGAGGAGGAAAGGGAATGGGGAGGACAAAGAAAACCCGAGAGCGGGAATAAACGCCGAGTGAAACAGCGCGAGCGAATCCGCGGGGGGGCCGAATAAGAACCGTGACGCAACGAACAAGTAAGATAATGGATTTGTTCGGTTGGCCGAATAAACGTTTAAGTGGACGAATCCATTATCTAATAGGGGCTTAAAGCTCATCCCGGAGAAAGCGGGGCTTTACGCGCGAGCGATTTCGGCTCGATTCCTCGGGAAATAAATCGGGGCTGTTGGCGGATGAGAAACGAGAAAATTCCCCCTATTTCAAGATTTCACGAATTTCTCGGGATGAAATTTATGCCACTTAACGAGGAGAGAGGGCGAGTTCTCTAATTAAAGTACCGCTAATCGGGGGGATTAATTCCAGTGGACTCGACGTTGATAGATTCGGAAAGAAAATAAAATAAAAATGGATAAAAAATAGAGGATGCGACCGAAGGACGAGCTTTTTCCGAGCTAACTCGGCAGTTTAATTTGCAGCGAAAACGGGGAAAATTTGGCGAATCGAGAGCGAAGTCGGGCAGGAAAGCTCGGAGGAAAAAAAAAAAAAAGAGGCTCGAACGAGTAGATCCGTGTCGGCCGAAATTACCGTCCCGTTTTAAACCTGACCCGATTGCGAGAAGAGGACAGTTTTCGGGACGGCACTTTAAAGGGGAGAATTTTTCCGCGACTCGCGACGCTCCGGCGAATTTTTTGAATGGGAAAGAGCCTTGCCAATGGCTGATTTATGCAGAAGTCTGTCCTCGCGTTGGCACTTTGCGTTTACAGAGCTGCATTCACGAGCGAATGGCAGGAGCGGCTTATAGCTCGATGCAAATGAATGCGAATCACTCGGCGATCCGACGTGTACACGAAAGCAGGAGCTAAGGGCGAAAGCAGGGCCGAGGAAACCGTGAAAACCATTTCCACGCCGGGAAATGGAGGTCGGAAGAGCCGTTTAAAAAAAGAAACGCCCCGGCTCGCACTTTCTTCTTTTTCGTTTTCTTTTCGAGGGAAATCGGGCCGCGTTTACAACGAAGGATTAGCGAAACTCTCCTTGTTTCCGGGTGGAGCTCTAAAATCAGGAACTCGTCCAGGCCGAGGGCAACTTCTGGAATTACTCCAACCCCTCCGGAACTCCACTCTCGAGGGAGTTTAGTCTTTTGCGTTTCAACTTTTTCTCGGCTTAATCCCGCGACGAAACGGTGTTTGCACCTTCGAGTGGGGCATCAAAAGGGAGGGGTTGAAACGCTCCTATAAAATCGAAATAATTCACGGAGACAAGTTGAATTTTCAGGCTAAAATGGAATTTTGAGAACTCGAGGTGACCGTTGTCTACAAAATGGAAGACCAGTTTTGGAACATCCTTTTTTTAGCTACTTCACCGGACGCGCGGGATTTATTCTCAAAGAGGGAGTAAAGTGAGAAGTCGATCCTCGGCTCGGATGAGCTCGAAATGGCGGAGTAGCCGCGAGGAATCGAGGTAATTCATGGAGGCGATTTCTTCCCCCTGGGGTATCGCCAGTTTACGTGCCCTTCCGCGTACAGGTGTGCCTCGGTGGGTGAAATGCAGGTGCCATTAGACGGTGTCGGAGCGAAGAGCACACGCGGGAAATTGATCGGGCCCACCCCGAGGGTGGTTTGCGCCGAAAGCCCTTTTCCCGCGGGAGCGGACGTCCCGGAAACATTAGACGGGGCCCGAGGTTGATAAATAGATCGAGTTATGGCAACAAGCTTGATAAATAGATCGGGTTATGCCCGAGCTTTGCGACGGATAAATGAGCCCGGCCTCGTGGGAACGACCTTCGACTCCGAATCGCGTCGAGCTCCCCGCTAAAGAGACGATTAATGGCGTGTTTCGGAATTGCGGACTCGCGAGGCTAAACAGACGAGAGAGGTGAAAGAGATCCAGTAGATGGACAGGAAAATTTAGGTGGACCAGAAAATCCAGATGGACCAAATAAATCAAATAAACCAAGTAGACCGGGTAGACAAGAGAAACAAGAGAGACCAACGGGACCCTCGAGCATCGCATCGACCGGAAGTCCTCGTGGCTGCGTTTTGCATACCCGAAACGGGCAAACTACCTCTAGAAACTCCGGCAATAAATGTAGGAACACGAGCACACGCCGTTTACTCCGCAGCCGACTGCACCGAACCGTGCAGGGGTCCATAAAACATTTTCTATCTAAAAGGGGTCCTCCAAAAAAATATATATATCCACCCAAGGTAAATTGATTTTCAGAACCCCCAAGGTGGTCGAGCTAATGCGAGTCCGCTTCTGCGAGTCATTGATTGGAGATATAGAGATATATGGACCAAGCGGAGGAAGCTCCGAGATCTTATCCGAGAAGAACCCTATCGGGAGGGATTCGAAGGGAAGAAATGCAGGAGATAAGAAGCCCCGGGTCGATCGACACGCCGAACGAGTGCTCGTCGATTGAAAAGCTCGATCTCGATCTGCCCCGATCGAGATCTCCCCTCGGTCGTGGGAATTCGGTTTCGGAATTTCGGAAACACGCATCTCGCCTGCACGGGGGGTCTAATACTCCCGACTTATCGATATTACTCGCACTTGGGGGGAAAAAAGTAGTTGGACCTAGAGGTCGACGGTAGAACCGCTTCTGGAGTCACCGACCTCTCTACGTGACGCCATTCGACATTTCGGAATTTTCCCAGGGAGGTCTCCGAAATTCTCCCGGAATTACCATCGAACGTACGTTTTTTTAAGGGACTCCTCGGTCCGAGTATAACAATATCGGACGAATGGATTTCGCGATTGAACGCTTTTCGCGAAAATTGGCGAACCTGTATATCCCTTCACTTAGCCAGCCTGTCAATGGCACTTGGCCTACCGACCTAAATCCGCATTTAAGAGCGAAATGCATAAGGAGGGGGCGAACTGGAAAAGGGGGGAGAAAAATACGGGGTCGTTCGATCGGGTTTTCGGAATGTCTCGATAATAGGAACGTATCGATCTCGCGGGATGCGACGAGACATCCTTGAAATTTCGTACAGGCGTGGAGGGAATCGATGCGAAACTCGAAACAACTTAATGCTGGGATAAATGAGATAATTGGATAATGAAATAATACAGAGTAATTAACGAATACGAGGAAAGTGCATTTTAAGGGTCGCGCGACGTATCGGAGCTTTCATGAGGACGGGGCTTATATATGTAATTGCGACTGCGCGCAATCACTGATGGGCTCTTCCGATTAAGATGGACAGGGGTTACTTATGTGGGGAGCTACGTGGGAAGTCTAGGGATGATTGATTCGGGGCACTCGACCTTCTTCGGAAAAGATTGCTTACAGTCGCCTTCCTGATCGAGGGGACCTCGTCGAATGCGATCGGTAAGGGATGTAACGTGACGATGGTATTAAAAAATCTAAATTTCGAGTATTCGAGAGTATCCAAGATACCGACATTATTTTGGACGATGCAAGTCCCACCGTAATATTTTATCTTTCAGGTCTAATGGCACCTTTAAGGTTCTGGGGGGCGAGAATCGAGAAAATGCTGAGTATCGCTGTCCTAAAGGGTTACTTTCCTCGTTAAAAAAAATCCGGTTAATAAATAGTCAAGGTGCCTGAATTATTTTAGGTGGCGGCGGTTTTAGCGTGACAATTTTATCACTGAATTCGTACGATTTGAACGATACCTCGAGAGAATCGAGCGCGAAAAGGACGACGACCGTGGTCCTTAATAAAAATCAATCCCCCAACGTGCCATCCGACATCCGGCGTGGAAACGGATTTCCAGGTCAGAAGGTCACGTTCTCCGTGGGGTGGCATATAAAATCATCGGGGGATGTTTGCGGGCCTTCGTTCCCGGGGCACCTTCCGGCGTTTCCCGGCGGGAAACGCCGGATTTTCTCCCCGGATAAACGCGGACCCTGGAGGCCTCGAAAGGTGCATAGAGAGTCGCATCGATCGCGACTGTCGCCCGGTCCTACTTTACATGCCTTCGTCGACCTCCCAATATCGGCGAAATATCGGCGAAATATCGGCCGACTCTCTACCCGGCATCCCGAAATTCCCGAAATTTATTTTTTTTATTTTTTTTTCCCCAGGCGCCGCAGAATGATTGGATCGACCATTTTCCCTGAAATATTCGACGACGATAGCGACCGTCATACTTGCAATTTTTTATTCCACAAATCCCTGGAGAAATCCGACTAAATGAAAAATTCGAGTAGTCGGAAAGCGAAAACTGTTTCTACGTCTTTCTAGGGGGAAAATAGGATCTCGTGTGCCAAAATAGAGCGCGATTAGATCGGCCATTTTTCCTGGAATATTCTACGACGAGAGCGACCGTACTTGCAATTTTTTATTCCATAACTCCCTGGAGGAATTCGACTAAATGGGAGATTCGAGTCGTCGGAAAGGGAAAAAGTTTTTCTACCCCTTTCTAAGGGGAAAATAGGGCCTCGTGGTCGAAAATTCAGCGTCCCTCAACCCTTCCGTCCTCCTCGAAGGGGATAAAAAAGCCAGGGCCAGTTACAGAGGAATTCCATTAACTCCGTCGCTTTTCTCCACGACCCCCCGGACCGAATACGCCGGGGCCAATTTTACACGTTAATGGATCCGATACACGATCCTGTACCGAATAAGCGTCCGACGAGCATAAAGCCTCCGGCGCTCTTCTGGAATAACGAGTCTCGGTAAAAGGGAGGGAAAAGAGAAAAGGAGCGAAAAAAATTGGAAACGAAACGAATCATCCCCTTAAAAGTGTATATCTCCGCTTTATCTCGCAGCTATCTAATCGTTATCTTTTTTCCCTTCCAGGCCTCTGTATTCGACGAGATCGAACTGACTGACTTGACCTTCGCCGAATGCAGCGTTAGAAACGCCAATCACAGTTTTCAGGTAAAGTTATCGTTAACGCGGATTGTAATTAATTCCCGATTCCGGATGAACGTGGGCGTGGGGTCGTTCGGATTTCGAGGAATATCTGGACTCGGGGAAATTAATAGGCCATCGACCGCAATGGTCCCTTTCTCTCGTGGAGGCACTTTAAATGCAAATTCGAGCTAACTCGAGTTTTGCCGAAAATCCCCTTCTCGGGGTGGAAGGAAATAATGGAGCCCGGGATGGAATGAGCTCGAGAAAGGAAATCTGGCTCCTTTAAATCCCAGGAATTCGGCCGGGGTATCAAAGCGTCGTTAAAGTATGATTAAACCTCGGGGTAGTTCCCTAGAAATCTCACAGGAGAGAAACGCCTTTGTGCGCGAAACGAGCCGCGAACTTCGGCTCGCGATATGGATTCGCAACAGGAAGCCCTCTCGAGACGGGGGAAACGTTTCCTCGTTATAAACCGGAGGCCTCGACAGAGAGGCGAAACAAAGAGATGGATGGATGTATTTCTTGTTAGTGAATGGAGGAAGAAAAAGAAAAGGGAAAAAAAAGGACCTGCCTCCTGTGAGGTTTGAACTCACGACCCCTGGTTTACGAGACCAGTGCTCTACCACTGAGCTAAAGAGGCCCGATGGCTCGAATTGCCGAATTTTCTTTGCTATTCTCCCCACTCCGGAATAAATAAACAAAGATATTCCTTTAATTGTCTTACATTTAACGGCGACTCGCAAATGAGAAAACGAAAGAAAACATTTTCATTATTTAATTCGAACTAATCTTCAAATGCCGGCGAGGATTCGCGCAGAGGGGATGTTGTAAGATGAGCAGGTTCCATGCACCTTAAAAGCCATCTGGCGCAATTCATGTTAATTTATTTTCTGTACAAAGTGTTCGATACGATCTGCGGATAGTGATATCGATATCGATGCTTAATCTTTGGATTTCGATTTAAATGCCGTCGACCTTTAAATCGATGTTGATGATAGAGATCGGAATTGAGGTTAAGCTCGGTGTCGGGCGGGGGCAAATCGTCGGGATGCCTGCGAGACGACAGATGCGGACACGTGTTTTTATGCGAACGGTGAACTCCCGGGAATGTTTGCGATTGACTAGACGAGCAGCGAGATGAGATTTATTAATAAATACGCACCGTGACATGCGCCGTGGGAAATAGGGCACGCGGCGGAGCTCGCTAGAGAAAACTCGGACATCCGATCGCCACTTCCAGCCATTTCCGCCATGTTAAGTTTCGCGGGCTCGATGAACTTTGAAGAGGACTCCTGACTTTCGCGAATTAAGCGAAAGGGCCTCCTCGACTCGGCACGAGTGGTCGGAGTTTGCATTTATATATGTCGTTGTCCGAATCCTTGCTCAAATGCCGCCCAAGCAACAGAGGGCACGCTCCCGGTTTAAGGTACATGGAGAACCTAACCCTACTTTCCGCGCGAGGTTAATGCTTATCCGAGGCGTTAATAGATGACAGAAAATCATCCGTGTCAGTCTTCTGTTCGTTTCCATTATTATTCCGAGAGGTTATTGTCTGACGATTAATTTCATGTGATGACACTTGCAGTGGGTTTACCACATTTCACTGCCGTTATGCTACGATGTTAAGTTATTAATTAAAATGTAAATTCTCCCCTTGCAAATCAATGAAATTAGGTAGATGGTATTCTTTGGAGTTTACAGGAGTTTAACTTGTGGCTCCGTTTCAGGTGATAACTCCTTTTCGGTCGCTGATTCTCTGCGGCGAAAGCAGGCAAGACATGGAGGACTGGTTGAACGCCTTGAGAGCAGCAGGGGAGAGTCGCTCTCAGGGAGACGCGGGAACTGCAGAGATTCTTGGTGGCAATCACAACTGGTATGCTACCAGTCATGCCAGGCCAACGTATTGCAATGTCTGTCGGGATGCATTATATGGTAAGCATTCAATGGTTTCTATAAAAGTATGTTTGATTTTGGTCATTATATTATGAGTCATTAACCAATGTCTATGGTTTATAGGTGTTACGTCTCATGGGTTGAGCTGTGAAGTTTGTAAATACAAAGTGCACAAGAGATGCAGCGCGAAAGCAATAAACAATTGCAAGTGGACCACGTTAGCGTCAATTGGCAAGGACATTATCGAGGACCAAGATGGGGTACATGAGTTTTCATTAAATAAAGTTTTAATCTTAGATACAATGTCTGCAACTTTCGTAAAATTACGTGTTTTAGAATATCTTGATGCCACATCAGTGGATGGAAGGTAACCTACCAGTGTCTTCAAAATGCGTTGTTTGTGACAAAACCTGTGGCTCTGTACTGAGGTATTTATCGGCATCGCTTAGTATTAAAAAAAATGTTCATTAAATATTTTTAACTATTTATTATTTACAGACTTCAAGATTGGAGATGTCTATGGTGCAAAGCCACTGTACACACTGCGTGTAGACCTGCCATAAGTGTCAAGTGCCCGTTAGGACCAGCCAAAGTTAGCGTAGTACCTCCTATCGCATTACATAGTATAGGTAAGCAACTGTTCAATTTTTTTTTAATTTCAATTAAAATTAAATATGCAGTAGTTTAAAAAAAATGTTTACAATTTACAGGTAGCGATGAAGCTTGGGAAGCAGTGAGACCAACTGGTTGCAGTCCACTCCTGGTATTTGTGAACAGTAAATCCGGTGACAATCAAGGCATTAAGTTTCTCAGAAGGTTCAAGCAACTTCTAAATCCTGCGCAAGTGTTCGATCTCATAAAGGGAGGACCAGGACCTGGGTAAGAGTTCTCCCTTTTTATAAATGATATTCAACTTTTTTTTTTTGTATATACTGTTATGGTATTTGATTATACTTGGCAAAAATTCGTTTAATGTCAATGTTCATCTTAGCATCGAGTGCAATTTATTTACCGGTCAAGATAGAATTTTTTTTGAAGTCGGGTCACTTAGTTGGTGCTACATGAATTAAGTTTATGTCGTAAACAGGCTAAGACTGTTTCGACATTTCGACCCATTCCGGATTCTGGTCTGCAGTGGCGACGGATCGGTCGGTTGGGTACTTTCAGAAATCGATCGGTTAGGAATGCACGTGAGTAAAATTAACAGGCAGTTGATCGTCTTCTGTGTCTGCTGTTGCTCCGACTTTTATTTCACTCGTCGTATCAATTTAATTGTCATCTTGCAATTTCCCAGCAAAACTTTTTCTTGTGCTCCAAGTACCTCTTCTTCGGATCTTTATTCTCTCATCCTTTACATTCTTCGGCTTTCTTTTCTCCAACAGAAAATAATGATTCAATGCTACTCTGACGAAATTTTTCTCTTTCCTTTTCTTGACCTTGCATCATGGCCTGATGTACTCTCCTCTGCATGCTCTCTGGCAGTCCTTTGCCATCTTCGCCTTTGTGCTGGTGTGCAGTGCAAAAGATACCAAAACCTTGCGTAGCATGGGGTGTCTCCTTTTTTTCTTTCGTTTCAGATAACTCGAGTATCCGAACTTTATGACCATTTAGTTCTGTTCTAAGGTTAGCTAATTCTCGTTGAAGCCGGTAAGTGCACATTTCGTTTTATTTTTCACGGTTTCGAACAGGACATTTAAATGTTATATTGGGGTTTAGATTACTTCTGAATGTACAGGTTTGATTGGATTATAATCTGATATCAATTTTTCTTACAGAAGCAGTGCCAGGTTGGAGTGCTGCCTCTGGGAACTGGCAACGACTTGGCTCGAGTTCTCGGTTGGGGTGCCTCTTGCGACGATGACACCCATTTACCTCAATTGCTTGAAAAGTACGAGAAGGCTGGCACTAAAATGTTGGATCGCTGGAGTATTATGACCTTTGAGCGTAGCATATCGCTGCCTTGTCCGAAACTCTCCCCGAGTCGAACCGATCCAACATTGGACACCGCGACGATGCACGAGTACGAAGACAGTGTGCTGAATCACATTACCAACATTATACAGTCAGACCAAGAAAATGTCGTAATATCCAGTGCAAAGTGAGTTTACGATCTTCGCAGTACATTAAGTCGAAAGTGTTTCTGACCTAACTTCTTTGTGCAGAGTTCTGTGTGAAACGGTGAAAGAGTTTGCAAGGCGCTTACTAGAGGCTAGCATGAATACCGGGGACCAGCAGCTGGGAGATAAGTCCGAAGTACTTCGGCAGAAATTGGATCTGCTTTTAGAAACTCTCCGTCGAGAGGAAAATTATCTGTCCGACAACAACGAAGAAATAGAGGAACATGGAACGTCGAGCAACAATGCACAGGACCAAGAGAAAGGCTCCCTGGAAAAGCCCGAGAAGGACTTGTCAAACTTGAAGCGGGTTCGAAAGAGAAAAACCTTCATCGAAAGAGAAGCAGTGGTATCGAGGTCTGGTGTCTCCTCTTTCATTAATCCCTTTTTTAAGAGTCAGAATTACAATATTGATAGTTTATTGCTAAACCTAGATTTTTCTCCCTCTTAGAGCAAACAGTTTGAAGAGAGCTATCAGAATACTTGTACAGCACACCGAGACAGCTATCGACGAACAAAACAGCTCAACGGATGGAAGGCGATCGGATGGGGTACCTCATGTAATGATAACTTCAGAGGACTCTTCGACCGCGAACAATGTGAACGGTAAACATGAAACTGGAGTAGTACTATCTTAATACTTACGATAAACTGTCATCGATGGATAAGAACCTATTGACCATCGAACGCATTGTCTGAAATATTTTTCCAAAGAGTAGTCTGATATTTACTCGTACATTTGGAAATTAGCTTCAGGTAGGAAAGGCCTACTGGACATTCTGGGCTTGCAGTCCAGTAACGTAGAGAGCATGGAGACGATGCTGACAGTAGAATCGGAGAGCAGCAACTATGCCTCGCCATGCCCTAGCCCGACACCCAATCTGACATCTTTGAGTCCGATGCCAGATTTAAGGAGGGATTCTCAAGCCGAAGAAATGTTGACATTGCCCGCACCCGATGGCTTTGCTGACAGCAGACGAAACAGTTCCAACCTACCGCAGGAGTATGTTCAAGCTCTGCAAAAGAAATTTTGCTACGCAGGTCAGCAGAAATGATAATAATTTAATTTTCTTTCTTCAAGGCCCTTCGCTTTCGAAGAACAAGTAGCGGAAGCTGCGAACATCTTATGTCAGGATCCTCAAGTTACTGGACCAAAGGAGGAGAGACGACCCTCGGAACCCGTGCAGGTTGAAACCACGTCCGACATCCAAGTGACCGTAACCGCTACCACGTTGGACACTAGTTCACCATCAGATGACACTACCATGCAAGACACGATGATCTCACCTGACACCGAGTCGATAAATTCGCGTAACGTCTCACCGGAGTGTGCAAGAAAATCAGAATGCTGTACCAGAGCGGGATTGTCGCGTGGAAGCTGCACCAATAGTATCGTCAGCTCCGACAGCACGGTGTCCGATACCCTCGACTCGAAGAGCATGGTGAAGAATAGCGAGAGCGAGATTGGTAAGCGTATTGTCAACATCTGTATCGTCTACTAATATCACAGTTGAGAGACTTTGGGTCCACTTGATGGCTAGATTAGTGGACGCCTCGTTTAACCGAATGATTTTCTCTAACGCTTTGCAGGTCACATAGACAGCGACATTCTGGACACGACAAAGCGGTCCGACAGCTCAGAGATCGGGCACATAGACTCTCCGGAAAATTCGGACGTCTGTCCCAGCGACATGCAGAACTCCGAGAGCATCATCGACGACCTGAGCTCGTTGGGCCAAGACTTGATTAGCACGATGCTCGGTGAGAAGTACGATTCGGTCAGGGAATGTCTGATATCGGACCAGGTCGAGAAGCCGAAGAAGTACTGCAGTCTGGCTCAGTTTGTTGAGGGGAACGACATCGCGAGGAGATCGTTTAAAAGGCCGGCCAAGACTCTCATCAGGGAGAATGAGGTTAGGTTAAGAATGAAGTTAGCTGATTTGTATATTATTATTTTCACGGAGATTTCATATCTAGATCGAGTGGAAGCAGAAAATCCTGGGGTCTAGCGTGGCAGGATTCAAGTCACCTTCGATAGAGTCTCTCAACTTCAAGGCGCCAAAGGAGGAGAAGACCTCTGACGTGCTCGGTCCAGTTTGCTGCTTCACGGTAACATCGGAAAGCACTCCGGAAAATAAAAAGTCTACGAACTTTCCGCCGACTATTAGGGTCATCGTTGACCCACCCAGTCCGTCGATGTCGATAAAGAGTTATCACGAAACAGATATTGGTTACAAGTTGGAACCTCCATGGCGACGTTACAGCGGTGGAACGATGGAGAAGTGTAAGTTATATAAATGGAAACGAAACATGTAACATGTTCACAATTATATGTATGTATATATATATTTTGCTTTGATCAGTGAGTGTCGAACTACCAGACACTGGCTGTTCTCCGCAAGCTACCAGGCGAATTAGCAGCGGGAGCCTTCTGAAAGCATCCGAGGTCGTCTCCTTGGCAGCCAGTGCAGCGAAACTAGGTGGTTCGAACCTTAGTCTTCGGCACGAACGTGCAAAATCGGTGGACAAAACCGAAGATGTCAAGAAGCTTCCGATAATCAACCCCCTGGTTCAACTTCCCATGTGGCCGAGTCAGTAAAATCGTTTAATCTCTCTTTATGATGACCCTGAGTCTTCGGAGTTTAATATTTCAACGTCTTTTGCAGATGTCAGCAGAGGCGCAGGTCTTATTAGCCAAGCACTCCTTGCAAATGCAGATGCACTGTGTGCAGCGGTGTCTCCACTCATGGATCCGGATGAAAGCCTGATGTATGTCCACGCCAAAAATCCTTTGTAAAATGAAAACTCTTCAAATTGAAGGAAATACACGTTGCCTACTTTTACAGGGAAGGATACTTCGAGCGCTGCGTCATGAACAATTATTTTGGCATTGGGATTGACGCAAAAATAAGTCTCGATTTTCACCACAAGCGTGAGGAACATCCGGAGAAGTGTCGATCGCGCGCCAAAAATTACATGTGGTATGGAGTCCTGGGCTCGAAACAGTGGCTTCAAAAAACCTACAAAAATTTAGAACAACGAGTACAGTTAGAGTGCGATGGTCAAAGAATACCGTTGCCTTCGTTGCAAGGAATCGTGGTACTGAACATACCGAGGTACGTTCAGTTCAACGACTAGAACTTACAAAGTTTGAAAGGTTTGGATAATCTTTAAATGATAATTTTCAAACGATAAAAATATATTTCCAGTTTCATGGGTGGCACTAATTTCTGGGGTGGCACGAAAGAAGGTGATCTGTTTCTGGCTCCATCCTTCGATGACAGAATTTTGGAAGTAGTTGCAGTTTTTGGCTCGGTTCAGATGGCAGCTTCGAGGCTTATTAATTTGCAACATCACAGGATAGCGCAGTGTCAAACTGTCCAAATTAATATTTTGGGCGAGGAAGGAGTGCCTATACAAGTCGATGGTGAAGCTTGGGTCCAACCACCTGGTATCATTCGGATCATTCATAAGAATCGAATGCAAATGCTCTATAGAAATCGAGTAAGCGTTCGATCTTTCCTATGACATTTTTACCAGCAGCGTGTAGAGCTTCTCAAATAACTGGTCGATTATTTTAGGCACTTGAAACTTCGTTGCGAGCATGGGAAGAGAAACAAAGAAGTACGATATCTGCAGTGTCTCAGTCGACATCAACACTGAGCAGTGCATCGCAGTCTAACTCTCGGTCTCAGCTTCAGCTAGAAGGAAGATCCTCTCATCTAAGTGAAGAAGAGCATGGCATATTGCTAGGATTCATCGAAGTCGTCACCACGCTTGTAAAGTGGGTGAAACTGCTAATCATATCGCATCCAAGTTTAGAACCTGATTTGTACCAGATTGCTGGAAGAACTGCCTTTGCACTCGAGAAGGTTCATCCCGATGGAAAAATACTAGAAGGGGTAATTTTTATAATAATTTCATAGCCGTGATAATCTGCAACTAATTTTCATCTTCTATTTTTACAGCCCAGTTTAAGACCAGTCGTTACGGAGTTGGTTTCATGTTCAAGACAACTGTACGAAGAGTCGTGTGAACTTCTTCGAGATAAAGGACATAATTTGGTAAATAAATATTGCTTCTATCGGGGAAACACGTTGCCATCGGCATTTTTAATTAATAAATCTATTCTATAAATTGTACAGAGACTACGAGAGGACTTGGAGAGCAAACTGTCTCTGTCGCTAGCTGCCATGGAACAAGAACTTCGGAAATGTGTCTTCGACGAAGGAGGAAATGGTCTGGTGTATCTTCAGAGCGCCTCAACGGATGATCAGGTAGAAGTCATTCTTTCCTTAAATTTAACTTTCCTTTTGCGTTTCTTGACTGCTTTCTTGTTATTTACCTCTTCGATCCTATTTCCTCCTCTGTATCTGGCTCCATGTCTGTGTGAAATTCAGATCATCAAGAACTTCGCATGTGCGTTTAACGATGATATAATTTGCGGGCCTGTCACTTTACAAATTAATCTAAAATATCTGAAATGTAATTAATTAAACCTCCCGTACTTTGTTTCGGATTGACCGAGTGCTCAATCCTGTTGCTGGTAATTTGCTTTCATACATCTTATGCAGCCCATCTAGAGTCTTGTTGTAGCACTGGAGTACTTGCTTCCAATAAGGTAGCCTCGATGAGGAACTTTAGCGAATTCGCACTTAGGAAATCGGTAAACGTAACGAACGTTGTAAGTGGTTTGTAACCTCCCATTTTCTTACTCCGTAGTGATGCGTACAACCTGCTTGGTCCTTCCTATACAACGTAGTTAGAAACCTCACTACGTCAGTTGTTGTCTCTTGTTACTTCCCGACGTAAATTCTTCGCTTGACCTAAGTAACTCGAGATTGACACCTAATCTCAACTGAAAGCAAGCTCGATCCGATTGCCATTAGAGAAGTCTCGTTATCACCTTGATTAGGAGCTGTTCTATCGCATGTTAGCTGCGGCTCCCAGGCGTCTCGATCCCACTAACCAAAACTAACCCAATTAACCGAGGTCTTAACTCTTCGTCCGCAGGCTGACAAAAAGAATCGTCACCGAGGCTTGTTCTGGTTAAAGTTTCGTCGCTCTGGAGGGAGTTCAGCGAATCACCCTGCAAAGGAGCAGGTCACGACTTGGGGGGTCCAGGAAGTTTGCCACTGGCTGGAGGGACTGCAGCTGGGCGAGTACACCGACAAATTTATCTCCCACGATATTCGAGGTAGAGAATTACTCACTTTGGCGAGAAGAGACCTCAAGGAGCTCGGAATCACAAAGGTGGGTCACGTGAAACGGATCCTGCAAGCAATCCACGATCTGAACAATTGAGGGGATCGACATCGTATCGTGTACCGATCCTGCATACTACCGATCTCGACAACCAAAAGCTACAAAGGAACCTCACGATGACAGAATTGTAACTCCAGTGCCAAAATCTCAGTGGCTGCGGCAACGCCCAGGAATGGACCTCGTCTTTGTATCGTCGAAAGACCAGCTAAATCGGAGCAACACGACAGATATTGCGATGCCTTCTACCTTGACGAGGCGACTTCTTCGAACTAGGGAAAGCACTTGCCACTGGCAATAACATCGATACGTGGTGTATCGAAGCGATATGTACAAATCAAGCTTTTTCAGCGGAGAAAAGGATAGGAAGGAAAACTCGGCAGCTTCGCCGTAAAGCAAAGGATGAGATCGTCCCGAAATTCAGCGCGTAATCGTTTCTCCTGTGACTAGTGAGTACTGATGATGTTACGGTATCTTCTACCGAGCAGGGTACCATAACCTTGCTTATGCTAACTCATCTACATCGCCTATTCCACTTTGTTGGCATAGTCAGAGTTTAGAACCACAGGTTCTCGTTGATCTTAGGCACCGTCCGAGTGCGTGATCTCTTTGTTGCATATCAGCGTTCCCTGCATCGGCACAAAGGCAGTTATGATAGCTCGAAAGTTAGCAAAGACATTGATATAATTAAGGTTTAGTTCCTTTTGCGTCTTCAAAGCTGTTTATTATCTCTTTTGGCTTTCACCTATGTATTTATTCCTACGGACATAGTTTCCCTTCAAACTTTCACCCTCCATCTCTCTCCTGATGTTAACCGTTTAACTAGAGAGTCGAGGCCCTGTTTATTATACAAAGAGAGTTGTCGGTAAGTCGTAGAATAATTTCAAACTTCGGATTATTAACGCGACCCTTCTTTGGATAGCTCGGTTCAAGTTGGACTTCGAGCTCCACGTAAGTGCAATCTCAGAGAGAAGCTCATAACTGCTTCGCTAATACCACCGTTAAGGTACTCCTAGGGGCAAGGAAACCTAGCATTAAATTCTCAAATCTTCCCGACTCGTAATTTTAAGACGTTCGTACTTTTAAGAATAATTAGCCGGTAGGCTCACTAGATCCTGATCGATTTTTTGAACCGTCTCTTGATCCGACGATTCTAAGGAAACCATTTTCATGCGTCTCGTTCCAGGTTTGAGCTTGACAGCTGTCTTGCAACGTCTTGATTTCCCTTGGAAACTGAGCATTACATTTTTCTTATCCTCCATCACAGAGTATTAACGATAAGAACCACCGATTGCACCGGATTAATCCACCCAACCAAAGACCAGTCTTTTGAGCGAGGTCAAATGTTCTTGCAAGAGGGTTGCCAAGCTCGACGGTTGTTGTAGCTCTTAGTCTTTTTTATGAATCTCCAGTATTGTAGATATTAGCTAGCTATACGAGTACATAGGAACATAGAAGTATTTATCTAGCTCGGGCACGATCGAATGTTTAACGTTTCTATCGAATCGATCCAAGGAAGCAAATTTAGATTAGGTCGTAGGGCTGTCAAAAGACAGGAAACCGGGGAGCGGCTGACTTCGCGGGAGTCGAAAACAAAGACGAGCAATCAAACGACGGCGCAATAAAGAAACAGTATTTTTCTCTAGTGGGCTTTCCGAGCCTTTCAACGGCCACGGGGAAAAAAAAAAGAGGCGGTATTTTCCGGAACTTCCTTTAGACGGTCTGTTCCCAGGGTCATTCGAGGATCTTTAAAACCAGGTACACGTTTTATCCGATATTCAAGTCGTCCCTCACGAGTTACAATAATACCACGTCACGGGTACATTTGTTGCTTATGAAAATGTTGAGCCAAAGGGTTGACGGTGTACAGAGCTTAATTCGAAGTCTAATCCGAGGATTGTTACTAAGAGGTGCCGAGTGGATATCGTACTCGTAAATAGGAAGAGCCTTCGCATCTTTGCTATAACGTTACGTGCACTAAAGTGCCTAAATGTATACTCATAATATCTCTCCGCTTAAGACACTCTTACGATGAACGATTGCAAGAAACGAAGCAGGTTTCCTTCCAATTGTTTGGATTTTCTCACTCATCCATTGCGTTCTTCCTTAGGCAATCCTTGCGTTACAAATTCTAGGCACTATCGATCGGTGGCGGAATAGAAAAAAAAATAGAAAAGTACGTGCAAAGTACACCTCGATTACCCTGCAAGTGATTCAGATTATGGTCTTCGAAGTATCTCGAGTATCGGACGGTGAATTGTATCGGTGAAGAAGAAAAACCCACAGAGCCGCAAATCCAGTTTCCGCGAGAGAACGAACAAGAGAATCTGCAAGTGACCTTATTTACGTCTACATTTGGCTTCGAGATCTCCGGGAATTCGTGACATAGTCGACAGTCTCGCTGACGGAAAATGTACGGAACCTTTGTCGTATGTAAGTCATCGAAGATTTCCGGTACTTCCCTCGATTGAAAAGTGGGGAAACGCTCCGGATTTTGGATTTTTGGGATTTCCGCGATCTAAACTGCTCTACACTGTTAGAAAAAAAAATATATGTATATATATATATGTATAATTTTATAACGTCTTTTCGAAGGTTTATTCAGACATGGTATCTTGTAACGCACCTTTAAGACTTATGGTGTCTTAACTTTCCTACGCAATTTCCCGAAGACTATAAATTCATTTGGAAATTTTGTAATGCATACCGAATCGCTGTCGAGGCGTCGAATTTATGGTTTTATTACAACCTCGTGTACCGAAAGTGGATACTTTTAACAGTGTAGAGCACGCGTCGGAAACGGAAGACATCGCCTCGCAATAAGGCCGATTTTCTAAGCAAGTATGTATATCGACACAACCGCACCAACCGTAGGGTCCCTTTAAGCGACCCTCCGATCCCAGTTGTAATACGAACCAAAGAGACCTTAGCCGATACACTTCGTCTATAAAGTTGTTAATTCTTACAGTTACACGTATACATTAATTATATATTAACGTAGAGATGTAAGCGCTACAGGGGCGAGGCGTCCGGTCAGGAAATTAGGAAACTAATTTCCCGTCAGGCTGCGTTATCAGATTTGTAGTTACTACTTTAAGGTCGCCGCAAAGTGTGGGGCTCGAACGCTTTTACCTACGGATCGATAGAATTCCACCCAGAATTTCATTTACTCAGAGCCGGATATTCTTTTGAACGGTGTCAGCGACATTTTTATTTCCGTGATGGTTCCATGCAACGAAAACGCCACGATTTGACGAAGTAGCTTTGAATTCTCGCCGTTTGCCTCCGAGGCGAGAAAGAACCAAGAGTTTCGTTGCAACACTATAGGAAACGCGTTCGAGGGCTCCGGGAAGGAGGAAGATAAAGTAACTCTTGCCTTTTCTATATAATAATATATAATAATATATAATAATACTTCTTAACCGTAAAGACACCTCAGCGTCCCTATTTAAGAGGATGTGAAAGTGGCATCCGAAAAGTCAATTGTTCGTGAAACTTATTGCACAAACTGGGTGTACCAAATCGTTTCAAACTTCACAACGTAAATGTAGAGGCTATAAGGAAGGTCCTGACCCTCGTGAAATTTCGTTTTCTATAAAAAATGTTAAGAATACCTATGAAGAAATTAAAAAAAAAAATTGAAATTTCATGGGTGTCGGTTCCTTAATGCTTCCACGTTCACGTTATAAAGTTTGAAACGATTCGGCGCACGCAGTTCGGGGAAAAGTTATGAAACTTTTATGAAAACGAGACCTCTGACGGCACTTTTACGTCGCCTTAATGCTCGGACTATTGTAAATATCTTGTGACGCAAAGTCACTTCGAGAAGGCCTTTACGTCCTCGACGTAAAGCCGGCTCAAAAGTGCTCTCCCATAAAATAAGCTCTACCTTCCAGGATCTCTACGACTGAGTATATCGACTAGGGCCGTTCTACGTCTATTCCTCGGTTTTTCTCTATTTTTTTTCTCTCTTCGTCACCTCTTACCAAAGAATGGTCACGTCGAACGCCCCTAGCCCGCCACTTGTGTATTATACATTTAATCGTATTAAGATTTCCCGATTGCATCGATCGGTCCTATATTCTAAACCGAGAGACGAGTGGCTCGTATGTTACGCCTCTATCTTCCTAGAACCCCCGTTGTTTCAAGTTATAAGTCCCGAGCTTGAGGACGCCATTTTGGACAGATTTTTCAACGTCCCCTTTAACTAGGATTAATCCCGGCTAATATTAACGAGGGCATTTAGAGAACGCAGGATTTTAAGGGAGTCGGGATAAAGATTTAACTGGGACGTTTTACGGTGAAATGGTTTTTAATTAGGATGGTTTTCGTTTCGTCGTTACACCTCTCTAGTCTGTCCTTGTAGCGAGAATACGGCCGATAGTTGACGCGATTTGCCTTATTCCCTTTTGACTTACGATTAACCTAACCGATAAGAGACGTTCACTGAGGAGACCTAGCGGTATAGCGCACTCACGTGTTTCGAATCGTCCTTGCACACTTTACCAAATAGTTTTTAGATATATTCCTAATGTCTAACGATAAGGAGGGTGCGTCGATTAGGGGAATTCCAAGTCGACGTCTCTCGTGAAAACGAAGAATGCTGAATGGACCTCGAGATCTGGTCGGGACGAACCGCGTTTCCTGTTTCTCCTTATCTAAGGAGAGACCGCATCCCTGGATTGTGATAAACGGAAGCAAGTTGTTGATCCATTTGAAAAAGCAGTATTTATGTCGAGGTTTCTCTTCATTGTTGCGTTCATTGGAGTCAATTGGAGCCACGATGAGGTAGCGAAACGTTGAGGCATGTTTAGTTGAATTATCGGCAGGGCAAGGCATTCAGCAGTCTTCACCGACCTGTGCAGTATTGCGGTATTTAACGTAGAGTCGTAAGTTCTCTCGGATAGACGATCTTCGTGTCTAGGACGAGGTAATACCGGACACGTGATTAACGAAACGCGTTATTAAATAAAAGGGAAACAGGTGCGAGATCTTTTAGTCATTCCAGCTCGGAGCAAAGCCATCGGGCCGGTCGTTGTCGAATTTGTTGCACCTGATTTGATAAGAGTCCAGGAGGGGTCGACGAATTTTCGACAACGAGCCGCCGAGGGCGATGAAATAATTTACATTTGGAGGATTCTGTGATAACTAATTAATACAGTAATGTAAAGCCCGACGCCGTAGCGCGCTCGTTATCGTTATTCCGTGATATTTTGTCGTCTCGAGTCTTATTTAAATGTATTCCCTTATCGGTGTATGTCGTTGTTAAGTCTCCTTCGTGCAGTCGAGTTTTGCGGCGAAATCCTCGAGGTGAATTCTCAGCGGTACAAATTCAAGCTCGGTTCTCTTAGGTCGGCTGGGAAGTTCTCGTTAAACGTCAAATATTCGGAAAATATTTTGCGCTAGGCATTGAATTGACTGTTTTTTGCACGATTCTGAAAATGTAAGCACTTTACGTGTTAATTAGAACTGTATATCGGCAGTTGCGCTTCGTAGCTAATAATATTTTACTCCGATCGATTTCTTAGTGTCGAGACTCAAGAGGGAGTCTTCAAACTTTGTGCGAATCTCAAATGACTGTACGCTTTATTTGTTCTCGTGTCTCTTCGATAACTTTACTGTCAGTTCTGAGTAACTTTCTTTATTCGCCTGTTAAATGGAAGTTACACCGCCCTGAACATCCGTGATTTCACTGTTGAATATTTTTCAAGTACCACCGATGTCAAATTATTTTATAATTATAACGAGCCAATAGACGCTAAGCTATATTTAAAGATCAATATTTTTTTATGCGGTTTACTGAAAACATCTGCCCTTAAACTTATGCATTTTTGTATCGGACAAACGAAGCAGGTTCAACGATTAGAGAACGAGGGAAACTTGGGACCGAGATGAAACGTGATAATGGTTCAATTTTAATTCAATCTTTTAATGAAAACGCCTGTCAAGTGTATTTTCAATTACGATGTAACTTTCTATTGACGTTGCAATTTTCAATCTTCACACTTTCAATTCAGGCTCGACAGACTGAACGTTGTGTATTTATTCCCCGAGTATCTGTATAATATACACGCCTGTTGGTTTTCCACTGTATTTAAATATCACTTATAATAAAGTTCTTCGACTTTTCAACTCCAGGGAATTGTGTGTCAATTCTGACGGAATAGCTAGGGGATCGGAGTATATCTTTATCTTAAGAAATTGCATTGGGCACGTCGCACTGTCACAAATACTAGATTCTAGGTAACACTTGTCAATGACTCGGTATGAATAACACCTCCGATACAAAATGCTATTTACAGAAGACTTACACATTACAAGAGGTAGGAATGCGTGGATAAATGTACATTTTTGCTCTCGGATATACACGATGTAATCTATCTACTTACATAACCCGATCATATCTATTTACAATTTTGACAGTAGAAAGACAGGTGTTCAGATTTCAGCCGAAGGATCGTTTCAATCGCGTTAAGGTTGTCTCTCTTCCCAAAATTTCCATCATTTCGGCAACTCCTGGCCCATCCTGTGAAAAAATATCTTGTAAGTTTCTGTAACAAAGGCGACTAGTTACAAACAAGTAGCGTTTACTTTACCTTCAGACCACTGAGTATAGTTCGCAATAATTTCATAAACTCAGGGAAAGGTATGTCTTTCTCTTCGGCAAAAGATCTTAGGCAGATTCCAAGTGATTGTTTGTCAAAATTATTTGGGTCGATGTTTTCCAACATTTCGCTCAAAACTTTAACAGCCTCTATAGAAAAAAAAAGAGAAAACATGTATCAGCATGAGATAATGAGTATATATGTAAAAATATCTAAGTCTTACCTATTAATTCAGATTTTTCTATATTTGGTTCACATGTTGGCAACACCCATACAAAAGCCAGATCTGGCGCTACCAAATCACTTAACTTCGAAATTCTGGTGCTGGCCCATTTTAAAACGGCTATTACATGATCCGGATGTAATTGCAAACTTCCATCGCTTGCACTGAAATCAGTAATTTTATGGTCAAATTCTCTTGACAAATGTATTTAATTTAAATATTGAGAGATAAGAAATGTCTCATTACCGCTCTGGAAACGCTTGTAAAACCAGCTGGTTCACTTTATTGAGGAAGAACTCATAATTTTTCTCATTCTCCAGTAACTGTAACAATTCTAATTTGTTGAATTCTAGTAACTTCTCTGGCCAAAGCTTCGTAGAGTTGACGTTAATTAGGTTCACATCAAATTGTTTAATCAGTTCACTGTAACTGTAACAATGTTGACCATCATTCTTTCTGTTGAATCCACCTCCAGCATGCGTTATATAATTCACTAATGCTAAAGGGAATATTCCTTGTTCTCTATAAGCATCGACTCTGACGTCACCCTGTCGTTTCGACAGTTTTGATCCATCGCTGTTTAGTAATAGAGGCAGATGCCCAAATTGTGGTGGCAACCAACCAAATGCTCTGCAGCAGAAATATTACCAAATATAAGCATAAAAATCTTAGAGAAACCATATCAGATTTCCTAAACTAATTGCTCAATTGCCATTTATATAAAGAATAAGAAAAAATGGTGCTGCGAGCGATAACTTATACTATGGGCAAAATACCGTTGATCAAACGATGTTAACGAAAATTGTCTGCTCACTTGTACATCATCAAGTGTTTTGGGGTAGATATTTGCCACTCCACACCTCGTAATACATGAGATATCTCCATCAGATGATCGTCGACCACATTGGCAAAGTGATAAGTAGGAAAGCCATCAGCCTTTATGATGACAGGGTCCCCTTCATTTCGAGTAACATCATATGTTATTTTGCCATAGACCATGTCTTCAAAGGGTTCTACGTCTGATGACAACTGTAGCATAATCGAATACAAAATTTGCAAATCAGTAGATAACACAATTATCATATAATATAAATATGGGTTTATTAAACCTTAAATCGAATGCAGTGATTTTCTCCTCGCGTTAATTTTTCATTAATCTCAGTCTCTGTTAGATGTCTACATCTATTATCATACTTGGGAATTTGCTTGGTCCTAACTGCTTCACGTCTTACTAACTCCAACCTTCGTTCGGAGCAAAAGCAACGGTATGCCGAGCCATATTTTAACAATTTTGCTACCTGTTCACTGAAAAGCAAACGGTTGTATTTTTGGTATATCGCTATATGCTATCATTTGGTGAGATTAATCTTACTGGTAAATTTCCAATCTCTTCGACTGTACATATGGACCGGTAGGACCACCTCTTATTGGATCTTCATCCGTTATGACTCCAGCCCAAAACAAATCCTCCTGTAATTTTTCAATGGCTCCGGGAAGAACCCTAGATTGATCGGTATCCTCGATTCGCAAAATGAAACTACCACCATTAGCACGTGCAAATAAATAATTATACAATGCCGTGCGCAGACCGCCTAGATGTAAATACCCTAAAATAGACAGAAAAATTTAGGTCAGTTTCTAGAAGCGCAAAAACAATCAGATCATTAACAAGAAGACTACCTTCATACTATAATTAACAGACCTGTTGGGCTGGGGGCAAATCGAACCCGTACACATTTTTTGAAAAACCGTTTGTGCAGTAATTCGACATGCACTGTTCTCAGAACGGTGCGATACATGTCGTGCCGTCAGTATTTTCCTTCCAACTAATTATCTTCCGTACATATAATCTCCTTGAATGGACAACCTGCAAGTCGCAATTCGCACGTGTTTAATTGCATTACCGGGTACCCGTGAAATAAACTATAATAATGAGAGAAACGTGAAATACTCAACACAGCTGTAGGTTCCTTCAATGACACTGTTATGCAGGTTCAACCATGCGTAGGGAAAAAATGTATAAATCTCGATAAGACGGAACGTAAATGAATAAATTCCGATTGCGACAACAAACTCGTGGAATCGTTTGAAAAGTGCATACAAGGCATGCAAAGATGAGTTGGGAGATCGTTCACGGGCAGGGTCGCGGATCGCGGCCTACGCTGCCCTCTGGTGGAGGATGCGGATGGCTAACGCACTTGCCTCCTGTTACCCCTCAGAGGCGGCGCAACACATTTCTGGTGGGGGCTCGCGCAATCGCGATGGCAGATACAGGGTTTGAAGCTTTTCTGAGGAGTCCGCATCTTTTTCGATTCGATTCATGTTCGAGAAAAATTTACGTAAGATTAACCTCTCAGGTACTCCATTCCCGTCACCTTATCGGAATATCCGTATTTTTTGTGATCATTCACTGGGAATACCAAGGTACCCAAGATTAGGATTAGAATTATCCATTTTTGGTAAAATCATCATGGGCAGTTAATCGAAATCGAGCTTGCTGCACTTGTTGGTAGAAGATGTTAAAATATGTTAAAGGATGTTTTTGAATTTTTTTCGCGATGCGAATTGCGTCCACGGTAGCTTGATGGGGAAGGTTGTTTTGTTTAAATTGATCTCTCGGGCCAGTGGCTGCGATTTTTTTCGGAGAAGATACAGGGTTTTGGAGTTTTTGTGAGGAGTTCATCACTTTTTCAGCCGGTTCTCGGGCTGCCCAGAGTTGTAACAGGTGGCAAGTGCATTAGCCGTCTGCATCCTCCACCGGAGGTCGCACAGGTCGCGGTCGCTCGATTCTTCCCGTGAGCAATCTCCCAACTCATCTCTTTTCTTACATTCACGCTCCTCGTTATTCTCCGATAGTAAATGTTACCTCTAATTCAAGAACGCTTTCATTTTATCGGTCGATACGTGGTCATCTTTATTATCCATCGATAATGCAGATATCGCAGAAATAGCGAGTAGTTCCGTGATCGGATACTAGATGGCGCGCACGTACCAATTCGAAAAAACCGTTGCAGAAGATTAAAATACATATCGGATGTCCCGCGAGATGCAGGTCACTCGAACGACTCTTATTCTTAAATACGAGAAAATGGAATAGTAATTTATCCTGACTTTACAATTATAGAAAACCGTATCGATAGATGCCATGGCTCGAGAAATGCTGACCTCTCGGGATCGCTCTTCCTAGACGCAACAACGATTTATCCCCGCGGTCTAGGGCAGCCAACAAAGACTGACATGGGTCACAGGTAGGCTCAGATGTAATCGTCTTACTCAATATCCTTGAATACCAGCCTCGCGTAAACCTCATAATAGATATCCGGTGCGAGTAATGATAATCCCATAATTCGAGGATCCGTCCGGACGGGCCCCGAATGTCGAATGCCCTCCACTCGAGGCCCGGAGGAATCATCGCCGCCATTATGTAGGAAATCCATTTCGGGCCCTGCGCGCCTCAACTCCTAACGCCGGTTATTATGTCGGAGCGGCTCTCGAGACATGGGGGCACTATATACGGAGGTTCATCATAAATTGACATAATTTCGTTTCCCTGCTCAGTGAAGCGTCCCAGGGGTGGTCTCCCGGTGAATAATCCATCGGTGTTATCAGCCCATGTGGTAGTAAGAACGCGGGCGATACCATTGCTCCGGGATAAAGAGCAAGATCCGGGCATCTTTGGATGCTCCAGAAATTATTCGGCGCACAAGAAAAAATGTGCATTCGCCAAAACGCGCGACGGTAAGCTCGAAGTACCGTACCGAGCACCGAGGGTCTTGCGTTCGACTCGTTTATGGAGTATGGGATATTTAAATGCGTCGGCTCGCTTTAAGGCCCTCCTATTTGCGGGGGGCATTTAGAAGTCGGCGGGGGAAGCCGCAACCTCGATGTCGAAAGTTCATCTTTCCTGCAGAATAAACAGAGGCGGGTAAACACGGGAGATTTAGAGATTTCATCTCGTAACTTGAGATCCAGGCGGGAGGACCTTGGTGGATGAAGTAGCGCAGCTCGCGCGATGCCTCAACGGTGGAGTTTAAATTCGCCTTCCCCGTTTCCGAAGGGCTGAAACAAAAGGAACGTTCGAGTCCACCCTCTAATGGTCATTGAATCAAGTTTGAATACTCGACTTCCGCTCTTCGCTTCCGATGCATCCCCTCGTGCATTAAGACGGGGCACCGCACGAAAAGAGCGGAGGACCGTTTCAATCTACGTGATGGCGACTCCAGGACCGCGGGCTAACACGGAGTAATCTCTCGACATCTCGAGAGAAGAACAAATTATATCGCGGCCAGACGAAGCGCCGCGCGCGGCCGTCGAGGCAACTAGACGGATGAGAAAATGGCGGCGGAGGGAGAGAGCCGGGAGGACGGGCGAGGGTCTTGGCCTCTGCTCTCCTCTCTCGCGACTGCTCGCGACGGTCTAGCGGAGGAGAGAGCGAGTCGAGCCTTCCCGGCCACGTTTGCTCGGACTGGCTGGAAGGAAAACGCGGTTCCCGCGGACGAGCGCTACTTTCTACGACTTTGCCCGAGGACGAGCTCGGCGCGGCCACCTATAGACCCACCAACCTCCCAACCTTTTCAAGGCGTAATTAAATGGCGCCCGCCGCGCTCTCTTTGCCGAGTGCCGCCAAGTGACCGACAAATCCTGGAACTCCCATTCAATTTCAATCGCGATCTCCCATCTCGGGGTTATTAAGGTCGGACAGACTTCTGGGATTAAAATATTGGAATATTTTCCATGGTAGAAGCGATGGATTCCTCTGGCTGTGGTCTCTTAATAAAAGTTGCTTCGGGGACGTAGAAGAACCAAATTATGTAGATTAATTAACTAATCGCGTCTTTGGACAGCTTTAACTTCCGGAGAGTCCTTCTTCCAGCTTTCCTCGGTAACGACCCCCCTCCGAGCGGGGGTCGTTTCCTCCGGTCCCCTTAACGAAGGCCGTGATTAACGGTGAAATCGCGAAAATGATCCCGCGGCATAGGTGGCGCCCCCGTAATTAATTTCGCGAGTTCTCGCCCGGCGGAAACGCCGGTGCGTTGCCGATTTCGCGAGGAAAAAACTCGCCCCTTCGCGGAGATTCAATTAAAACGGTGCGAGATGATTATCCAGAGTCCGGAATTCCCGAGTCTTGCCATGCCCCGGTACGCCTCCCGGCCTGGAATGATTTGAACAATTTGTAATGATTTGCAAATTGCGATTCGCCAGGTGAATACCAACGACCAATTCTCGGATTGGACGAGGAGAGGTCCGGAGATTTCCGAGCCGAGCTCCCGTTCCTTCCTCCGCCTTTGCGCCGTCCCCACGGGCGGATCTTGAAACATTAAAGGAAACGCCGAGTTGTTAATGCAAAAATGCAAAGGTATACAATATGACGGGGTCATTATTTGAAAAGTACAGTTGAGTCTCGGTTCGAGCCCGGCCCGGGAGTCGTTGGAGTAGCAAAGAGAGCGGAAGACACGAGGGGCTGTGAGGACCTCGGCATCGCGCTCGACCCTTTGATCAACTCACCGGTATCCCTCGACTAAACGCGCGCTGATCTCCCATGAATATGGAGAACCTGGTCTCCGGGGCCGCGCGCTATCTAATTGTCGTCTTTTAAGCCGGTCCCAGGTGTACGACTCCGACACGCCGCCGAGGTGCGCGAATCACGGCCGACTCGCCGCCGACGAGAAAACAAGGATTCTCTTCTCCCTGCCCGGACGATTCTCGACCCTTCTTAATCGCAACGAGAATTAATATTTAAGGTGTACGAACGTGTCATACATACACACACACAAAAGTCAAAATATGAAACATTTCTCCAAACTGGGTGCACCGAATCATTTGAAACTTTAACGCGTGGATCCGGAGGTCCTAATGAAGGTCTTGAAACTCGCGAAATTTCAATTCTGAAAAAAAAATGTTATATTTATCTTGGAAAAGAACCAAGAAATGTTTCTTCGAAAAATGAAATTTCATCTCGCGGAAGAACGGTCGACGACGCCGATTGGCGGAGGCAATCGCGTCGGAACGATGACGTCAGTTCGAGGGTACGACGAGAGGAACGTCGCGCCGCGGAACAATGGCGCTCGACGTAGAAATAACGAGGTTCGCGGCGAGCGAGAAAAAAGCACGAGCCGCCGGGAGGTAGACGGCGCCCCTAGCGGCGCTCGCCGCAACGTCAAATGGGCGCCGTCGCGCCGCAGGGGGTGTGCACGATCGGAATTAAAACCTCACGACGCGCGTCATTCTTTTAGCCACGACAACGAGGAGAAGTGCCCGTTGAATGGCCTTTGCGAGGCGCATCGGTGGACACGCCTGGAATGGTACAGGCTTTTTAAAAAACCCTCGGTTTCCTCGCCAAATGGGAAAAATTCAAGAAACTGCCCGTACCAAAATTCCACCACGACGAATGCAAGAAAGAATCGTTCGAGATCTTCGTCATCCTCGAGGGAAATGAAATTCTGGGATGGCATACTGGAAACTGAAATGGTTAATTACCGGTTTGTAATGATATTTATCGGAGTGACTGTCGGGGTCATTTGCAGCGCCTCGAAATCGGCGCTCGCGAGATGGTCCATCCTGTATAACGACACGCGTGAGATGGGCAACTCTCGTTGTCCCCTGGTGCTCTCGGCGCGTCGCGGAGTCGCAAAGTGAGAGGGCTTTCTCAAAGCCCTGTACTTCCGGGGGGCGGCGCTGCGATCGGCATCGGCGCAGATCAAAGCCCCGGGGGTGACCGACGACCGAGCGACTCCCTCTCGCATTCGCTTACACTCCAGCTCGCTCAAGTGGCATCGACTCGAATCGGGAAAGGAATAAAGAACCCGCGGCCTCATGCGTAAAACGATGCCACTGCAAACAATCCCCGATTTGTTTAGGTATAACAATCCTCTCACCCCCCGCCCCGGGCGACCCCTCTGCCGCGTTATATAGTCCGGGGCTGACCAACCGAGAACCGGAATCTTCGATACTCCCCTCGAAGGCACGCCGAAACCTACGATGTCACTAATTATCCTCGATACAAATATCTCATACATATTATATAGTTTAGAATACCGAGGACAATCGATTCTCCAATATGGCGACCGTCGCACCGACGACGCTTCCTCGTCGGATT